CGTTGAAACGTTGATTATTCAAAAATAGATCGATTATCAATTAATTAAATATAGTTAAGCCAAAAACACGTAAAAAAATTTTTTCAAATGTTGAGAATATCAATGTTTCTTTTCTTGTAAGTGCAAATAAAATTTCCAAATGATTGTTTGTTTATTTTATTATTAGCCAGATAATAAACAAGCAAAATTTAAAACTTAGAAAGAAACTAATTGTCTGATAATATCAAGAATGAAGTGCAACAAAGAATATAGTTATATTTAAACGCATCTGATTAGACAAATCATTTTTATAATTTGAGATTTCTATATAAAATCAAAGTATTGTATGCATGAGTTAAATAATGCAATAAGTAAATGCAATTGAAATATGTAATCAAGGAAACATAATTCTATAATACCATGATGATATGTTTAATTTCCTCACCTAGTCATTGTTTTAAATATAAAAATTATTTAAGCTGAATATAATGACATAGTAAAATCTTTCTATATCAAAAAATTTCAAAATTTTTTTTGCTAATGAAAAAAATTGTTCATATATCCAAAGTAACATTTATTAAAAATGGAGTGTACGAAGTGTTGGCTATATGAAAGATCTGCACAACAAGGTAAATCATGTTTTGATGTCAAAATTTCATGATCTTATTAGCCAAGGTGCCAGGCTTTAAACAATCTCTTTGTTTGGAATAAGTTCCAAACATGATTTTACATGTAAAAATTTGGTATTTCAAACCGTAATATATTTTATATGTTAGAATGTTTGATATTACGACAAATTAGAAGCATTTTGCGAAATCTAGTAAATACTATTTGGAATTCTACCAAATCCCAAACTAGTAGATTTGGGCTGGAACCCTACTGACCAGTACTTTTCTTATAGTCTCTATCACCATAAAAATTTGGAATACTCAACTCTCTAGCTTTTATGCTTTTATACTGTTTCTGAATACATACACTTTGTAATATTGAACTCCCAAACTTTAAATGCGCATTATTGGTTCTTTGATAGCTCAAATTATATAACTTTAATGGCTCATTTATATAATTCCAAGCCTTCAACATACCATTTAATGTTCGAATGGTACATAGGTGGCTCACAGATGCTTCTAATTCAACACATCATTTATTTTCATTCATGGTCGTGTGTTTTATCATTGTAATTCATTTTACCAAGGCTTTGACAATCAATATTAGCCTTTTGCTCATCCTTTTCACTTATAATTCCATGTTCATTTGCTCTACTATCTGCAGCTTCACCCCCACTATCATTAAACTTAGCGTTATCTTCCAATGTGTTTACTACACATCTTACATTCACAACATCATCACTACGTCTCTCTTTCTTTTTATTGATACTATTGTTTTCTATTGATTCACTTCTAATACACCTAACATCCATTAAATTATTTTCTCTTCGATTATCATTCTTCATTATACTTTCTTTATTCATTGTATTTTTATTTATAATTGGTTCTTCTGACATCACGAATATCATTTTACTATATCCAGATTGGATTATACAACAACATTTTCTATTTTTTCATTTAAAACTACACCTAGGTTTCATAACCCACAGCATTGCAAGAACTACATCAGAACACAATCCATGCTTTACATGGAATATTTAAACTACTTTAACTCCATCAATATCAACTTCAACTCCAGAAACATATCCAACAAACTCACCATCACACATATACCACTAATGGTTGTTTTATTGTTCAAATGTCTCCAAGTTAGCCCTTTCTTTTCTATATATTTTATATTTATTAAGTTCATATATGAAAAGTTCTAATTTATGCTCTTGCCAATTGTCCGTTTATATTTACTAACTTTCTCAATGTATCGCTATTGTTATCTCTCTTTATCTCATCACTTTCAATGCACTTCAAATTTGATTCAGATGCTTTATATTCATCCTCAACATATCTTTGGTGAATAATAGATACTGCATGGTTATTTTCTTCTACTCCTATCATATTTCAGTAACAACTTCAAATATCAAATGCTTCGTTGGAGTCACTCCTCTTAATTTCATCTTTAACTATGTCCACATCTTCATCATGGCCAGATTCAAGATTATCTTTTCGATTCAAATCTCTACCTTCAACTGTCATATGTTTATTCTTTCTGATGCCAATTCTATCTTCATAATGATTATCAAGATTTTTTCTAGAATCAATCGTGTTTTATTAACAATATCAAACAGTAGATGCTTCATCAACATTATCTATATTTTCAGGTTTTTGATAATAGATGATTACTTTGGATTCATCTTTTTCAACATCTTTGCTGGATATTTCATTCACAAATTCAATTGAATTTATTTTACTATTCGATTCAAATATGTCATTCACATATTTTTTATCTATACTACCTATTATATTCTTACTATCACATTCATTGATCCCCTTTTCATCAATAACTGTTCCACCTATCTCAACTATCTCTTCACCTTTATAATCCTCAACACCTTCATCTATACCTTTTTCAATTTGCTCTGTTTTACTTTCAAACTGTTTTTCTAATCTAGCATCATCATGAATTCATCCTGCATCAATGTTTTCAACAAATCTTCTATTATAGTATCCATTTTCTCAACTATATCTAATGGTACTTCTATCAGAACTATTGGTCCATCACCTTGGTACCAATTATTAATATTCTTTTCATTATTGATTCCATATTGATAACAGTCTTCAATGACTTTATCATTATTATTTAAATTAAGTATGTCAATTTCTTTGGTTTGATTCGATTTCTCAGAAGTTAGTAGATCAACTTTGATTATCTTTCTTTTATTTTTTCTTTTATTAACATTTTCCTTTCTTATAATCTTCTCTTGCTTTTAATCCTTTTCAATATTATATATTTCATCATCATTAGATGTTTGATAACAATTGACTGCTTTATGCTGATCTTTTTCGACTTCACCAGCACTATTTAAACTAGCTAATTTCTGAATACATTTGAATGTTTTCTTTCCACTTATTCCATGTTGATAGTACAAACTAATATCATATTGTCCTTTCAGATTGTCATCTTTAGCAGATTTTTGGTAATGACTAAATGCTTCATGTTTTCCATTTCATCATCGATTTGATTTTTGTAATAACAATTACCAATGTCGAAGGATCCTGTCTCTTAATAATTAATGAATGCATTACATTTGTTCATTTTGGCTTTAATTCTATAATAATAATAATGGTCTTCATCATCATTTGTTTTTCCAACATCACCTATTTCAACAGAAATTATAGGCATAATTTCAGGTCTTGTATCTTTTGCTTGTATCACTTTGCTATTGCATTTCTTATTAACATTTATCACCTTTTTCTTTCATTGTTCATATAGATATCTGTTCTATTCTTCTTTTTCTTATTTTCGTCATTATTATCAACATCATTTGGCATTGCAGGTACATACCCAATCTTTACAGAATTTTTATAATACTGTAAGTTGCTACACTTCCTTTTCATTCAGTTCAATTTACTTTTATCAATGTTCTTTTCACATGCTAATTCCACCCTTTTACATTTTAGTTTATCTCTTTTTATTTGATTTATTCTTTTATGCTTTACTATACTCATCTCTGCAAATCTAAGAAACCTTATATTCTCAATTTTGTTCACTAGATATGTATTGTTCTTCTTTTCTTTCTGTTCATTCTTTTTATTGACTCTTCTTCGACCTTTTGATACATCTTTACTATGTTCCTAATATTCATGCATTATTTGATCTGAACAATCATGGGCAAAATATCCTGGTTTTCTGTATTCGTAACATAAACGTGGTCTACAGTTAACATCTTTCCTTTGTAAGACCTTCAGGCTTTTCATAATCTCTGCTGTTATCATCTCTACTATATTCCTATTCATCATCATTAAACTATTCTGGCTTTTCCTTTTTTCAGATACCATTTTCAGATAAGCCCCATCTTTTATATCGTTTCCTTCTTATTGTTTATTCAAAACACTAACAAAGTTCTCTGGGTTTACTTCACACAAATATCTACTCTTTTAATACTATGTTTATGAAGATCTTTACTTTGATGTTTAATAATCAAACTACACAGTTCAACAAGGTTATTGCTTTCTACCCAGTACCTTATACCAGTTTGTTGTTTTCTTACTTGATATTGTTCTTATTTAT